TTCCCTTACTATCGTCAGTCACTTTATGTATTTTATTTTCCATTCAAAAATTCTAAAAAACCAAATATTTTGTTTTACAGACTCCTCATTTGAACGATGAAGGTGCTTCTCTACTGTTTCTCTTCTGTACTGCTTGTGGTAAGTATAGAAATCTCTATAAATTGTAACTGGAAAAAACTGTCTTAGCGTTTACAGCTTTTTTTGATTTTTGGTTTTTTTTTTAGTTTATTTATGCAATATTTTTTAACACAAGAAAAAACTGAGGCAAAGAACTCTATGTAAGTGTAATAAAAATAATTTCATTCAAAAAAATTTTTTTATGGAGTCAAAAAAACTTGTTTACTTTATCTGCTTTGGATACGAATGTCTTTAAATGTAAAGACAATGTCCTACAGCAACAGTAAAATTAAGTTTCACTTTCTTTTTTTTACCAAACATTCTGCTTGGAATTTGAGTGGATAAAATAAAACAATAATGGTCAAATTTAAAAGGGGTGCGAGAAGAAAGAGAGAATCAAAAGAAGAGGAAAATTGAGTAGGGCAATATAAATTATTTATTAGGCAAATACTGGATGATATCTGTAGCTGTTAATATCAATTGTTAACAAATTTTCTTTTTTATTGTTTTGACAGGCTTACATTTGTGTGGAATTTTTACCGGAAGCGAATGCGGAAGAGTTGTCGAGAAAAAAAGAAGTGCGTTTTCCAAAACCTGTAACAACACGTCGTGTAGTAGGCTATCGTGACCAAAAGCAAATTGATACACGAAGACAGAAACGTCGAAAGGATGTATTTGATTATGATGAAGATGCTACCCTTAAGCTCATCCTTTTGGACGGATTACCAACTACAACTGAACCAGTCATTAAGAAAACTGAAACGACTACTCAGCCAAAAGATATCGGTGATGTTGGGGGAAAGAAAGCTAAAGCTGGTTCTGCAGATGTTTCAAACCCGACTAAAACTGGTTCTGCAGGGGCTTCAAACTCAACTAAAGCTGGTTCTGCAGGGGTTTCAAACCCAAATTACGCATACGTTATTACTGCACTTTTGAGCTTTTTATTC